TGTCTGGTGTTATCAATCGCCGATGCCTTTTCCATCTCTTTCGCTTTTTTCGCCCATCACTTTTCACGGTCGTTACGGAGGCTTCTTGCTAGTTTTCGTTTGAGTAGCTTTCGCTCCTCATCATAATCGTAGCTCTCCGGAATCAGTCTTCTTGCGTCAATCAGTTCTGATGAGGTGGTAGAAATCCACTGGCTCTTACTAACTTAATGTTTCAGGTTATTAACAGCTTTTACAGCTGTGTCTACAGCTAGCTAACTGTGTGTTATGCTAGGCTTCGTCAGGAGGAGTCCTGCTGTCGACCTCAGATACTCGTTTCTCCATTTCTTCCTTAAATAGGGACTCAGAGTCTCGATCTAGTTGGGGACGCAACTGCTTCACTGCCAACAATTTTTTATGTCCGTTTAATCGTAAGCATAAACGTACGCGAACCAGAGCGTGATCGGAGTCTGGGCACATGTTCCAGAAGGAGCGACAGTCTTTTACTGACTCTTGCTGATGATACCCTATCGCTATGTGGTCTACCTGAGTCCAGCGTTGATTTGGTGATGGAGGTCGCCAGGTTACACAGTGTCTCTCTTTGTGCCTAAAGTAAGTGTTGACTAGGAACAGATCATTATCTGAGCAGAACTGTGGAAGACGATCACCGCTGTCGGTTCGCCGGGGGGGGGGGAACTCCATACGTACCACCTACATACTTCTCAGTCTAGCACAACTTCCCTACTTGGGCATTGAAGTCGCCTGCTAAAACAACTATATCTGAACGTTTTGCTTTTTTCAGCAAATTAGACAGTTTCAGGTGGAAGTCATCCTTTAGTTCATCAGTATACATACATCATACTACTACATCATACTCACTAAGAAGAGAAGTCTTCAGATAACTTACTTTGAAAGGAAGGTTGGCTATCTTTGATTATAGGTGTCTGTGCTTTATCTATATCCTGTGTTAGGGAGGTGGTATAATAGGGGTGAGAAATATTCAGGTTAGCCATCTGTCGAGTGCTAGGGAAGAAGGGGGCTATGAAGCTATATCGATTACTATGGTTAGGACATACGTTACGCATGCATCACTAGCCATCGCCTTCCTCGCCCGACAGGCATTGTTAACTGATTGACATGGGATTGATCAGGTAACTGCCAACTTGAATAGGGCCAGAATCGCTGGTGAGCATCTCACTAATATAAGTATAAAACTTGGGCACTGTAGTAGGGTGTAACTCCATTAGAGATAAAAAATTTTATTTTGATAAATGACATAGTGTCGTTTGTAAAGACAGGCTTAGTTAAGTGTGTAACAAACCGAGCAGTGGCACTAAGTAGCACAACAAAAAACCTAAACGATGAAATGAAACAGACAGAAGGATAGCTGGTTGGTGTTCAATAACCAACTGCCCTATAAAATTCATTAGGAAGATCAGAAACGGACAAAATAAAAATAATGGTGAAACTAATAATGATAAGATAAATAAGGGAGAATATAAAGCATCTACAATTTTACCATATAAGGAGGGAGGGGACATCTGAGACCCTCCCTACGTAGGATTCTCAATAAAGCAGGAATTAGGGTAGTGGCATTCAAACCTACAAGCTCACTCACATAGGACAAGCTCTGAAGGCTAAAAGACCCGGTGGGCCTAATTAAGCAAAATAATATAATTTACAAAATACGTTGCAATGACTGTGAGTTAGGATAACTACATAGGTCAAACTGGTAGATGGGGGGTTAATCAGATTGTCAAAACATAGGAATTTAGTAAAGGGTAGAATGACTGACCCCGAGAAGATAAGTAATTCAGAAAAAAGCTCACCACTACATTGCACTGCATGCATTAACGCGCAACCGCAAAATTGGTGGGTGGGACAGAGTTAAAATTCTAAGAAGTAATATAGGTAGGTGGAGGGAGCGAGGGAGATTGATTACTGAATCCTGCTTGGTTCTTCGAGTCTACACCCAACACATGCAACAGAAATGACTCAATGCAAGTACCAGAGCTATGTATGGAAGATATTATTACCACCAGTCAGTTAGTTAAATCAGAGGAGGATAATAAATGATGTTAAAATGTATTCAATTCACGTACATTATAACATTCTAACAAGTAACTTATTATGACTGCATAAACACTCGTCTTATTTCCCATCTGATTGTATTTTATTGATAATACTCATATTATTTCTGAATGTACTTTATCTTATATTGATTTTATTCAGTCGAATGTCTTATCATGAATTTTTACTCTTGGATATTAGTGAAAGGAAAAAGTTGTATGAGTAACTTGATATGATTATGAGTGGCAATAATTTGTGCTCGAACCGTGTGGTCATTAGTTAATATTACTGTATAACAACACTGATTTATCAAAATAAAATCTTATCCATAATGAAAATTTACCCGCTGACAAATAAGGACAAGACAGTAGAAAGGTGTTTTTTTATCGGATGAACAGGAAGTCAAGAATACTACCTTTTCACTCTCAGGAGGTGTAGTTAGAACAGGTCAACTCGTAGCTGGCGGTAAAATCTTCACACCGACAATTTCGAAGACTTCTTCATATAGGCCATATGTAACAAGCTTCAACCAATTGTCTCCTGGGCTAGTGCTCTTTAAATCAAATTTACAATTCCCTAAATAATTTTTTAATTCACTACTATTTTCTTCAAAAACTGAAATCATTGAAATCACAATATGTGATCTGCTTAATTTCATAAATGCTGATCAAAGAAGCAAGCATAATTGCATAAAACTGTACACTACTTATTAATTGTGATGAGTAGTTTAATATCACTCACTTCAGCCACTAGTGCTTACATGTTTGGGAAGTTCCATCAGCCCCAACGGGTTGATCGCCGACGAAATCTCAGCACGGATACAGAAAGCTAGTTTCGTATATGCCATTTTCCTCCTTCTGTGGCTTAGACGTGATATCCAGCTGGCTTGCTGTCGACCAAAGGACGTGTGTACTGCTCAGCAGTCGGCTCTGTCATCCTTCATGTCTGTGGGACCTGGCCACTGAAAGTGGAGGCTATGAAAAGCCTGGCTAGTTGCCCTTAATCATAGGTGTGTTAAGTGGTATAATGAGGCGAGTAGTATTGATGTTAGGCGTCGAGTGGTAGGTTATGTAAGGAGGGGAAATCGATTGACGCGACTGTGAAGTTACATAGATTGAGATGGTTAGCGCATGTGTTACAAATGCCTAGCCGTCGATCACCTTCCTCGACGAGCAGTGTTAACTAACTTATGTACGGTTGATCAGATTGAAAAAGAGAGAGCTAGTGGTGGTCAAACCATAACATGGCTTCCTCAGTCAATCAAAGCCACAACAGTTAGTTCAAACCAGTCACGTAGGGAGGTGTAGACTGCCTTGTTTAGGTCCTCGGAAAGGTAAACACCAATGACTGAAGACAATTGAGGATATGCCTCAAAGTGATCGTTCTCAATGACCGGGTGTATATGCATCCAATCCTTGTGGCTTATAATACCCAATAAAACTAAATTGTTCTTCGACATTACTATTCTTTTTGCCTCATATCTCTGTTTACTGTCTCTATTTTTGCATTTCTGTTTACTTTCTTCTCTTGGTTTATGTGCTGAGTGGAGTGTGGCGACTCGAGGTGCCGCACGTTTGTGCAAAGTTCTATTTTGAAACCAGTGAGTCAGTTAGTCAGGTTGAAGTGATCAAGACATTGGACAGCCGTTTCGTTGGTTCGGGATTGAACTTATTAAAGTTGGATCTGGTTTAACTTAGCTCAGATTGCTGAATCTGAATCAAACTGCCAGATTTCTGGCTATCTACTCGGGCGAACTGGTAATTCCATCCGACTAGCAAGCACTTTCGGGTTAGTGTGTGAGACATTCAACTACTCATCTCAATTAATAAGTGGTGTGTAGTTTTTACGCAACTCACCCCCTTTCTGTGAAGCGTCAATCGCCTGTACACCTCCATAAAGAATTTTTTAATTACGCTGTACATGATATACAAATAGGAAGTGTGACAGCTGAAACCGGCAGTTATACTGGATTCTAAATGACATTGATTTTTATTCTTCATAACCAGACTATCACTGTATGCGTCGGTGGTACAGGGGTAGAATGCTCGAGGTCCGAGGTTCGATCTCCGGCCGATGCACCGCTTTACCTCACTAAGCCAGTAATAAGACTGGTAAAGTTGGAAGGTTGGGGGCATGAGGCCAGGAAACCAACTCCTTAAAAATAAACACCGCTGCTACCAAAGTTTCAAGCGTCTATTTTTGAAGCCCTATGTTCCCACTGGTAACGTAAAGGAATAAAATAATATAATAATAAGAGTATTACTGTATCAGATTATAAGGATGAAAACATTTGGCGTATTGTTTGTAGTATTTAACTTTCAGTTGATGTTTTCTGGGTTCGAGCCCTTCTTTGCCTATTTCATACTTGGGCAGATGAGCATATTATTATCCGCCCTCTGTTTTGGGGTCATTTCAATTCTGATCTATAAGACTGTCTATAATTTTCACCTCCTTGTCACGCGTTTTGCCAAAAATTTTATTTCAATCTCGAAACTTTTACAGTTGGTTGGACGATTTAATCATGAGCTGGCATCAGCTAGAGAATCATTGGGAAAAAAAAGCTGAGAGTACTGGACAACTGTTTCGTCCTGGTTTGAGGCTCTTCATCAGTACGCAGAAGTAAGAATTTTTGCACTGGCCATTAGATCGAATCCCAGTGGCTTAATGGTCTATGAGCTCGCTGTCCTTGTAACCAGAAAGTCCTGGGTTCGAACCTTAGTGGGGTGGATACATAGTGCTGAAGAGTCCCAAACTAGGCTGATTCAACGGCTGTCCGGTACTCCCAATTGGGTTCTCTAACTGATGTGTCAGCTCATGATGAAATCCTCCAACCAACCAATCAAAAACAAAAAAATATTTGAAACGATTTTAAGGAGAATGAACTGCAAAAAACATCCCTACAAAAAAACCAAATACCTGGAATTAATTCTTTTTTTTGTTTTCTTTTTTGACAGACATTTACTCACTCTAAATTATTTAGATCCTGAAAAACATGATTCTTCAAATAGTAATAATAATCTGCATAAAACCTCCTCGTTAACATCATCTACGCTATCATTGTCAAATAATGGGAATAATGGTGTTAGCGGGACACCACAACCACCACCACCACCAAAATTATGTTGGTCAACATCACCAAGATTGAATTCAATGTTGTCAACATCAATGACACGAAGTTCTACAGTGTCTAATCAACATCCTAGTGTTAGTGAATTAATTCCACATCTTGTTAAATCAGCTGAAGTATTTCTATCACTGGCTAATACTTCATCAACAAGTGCATCAATGTTGTCTTCATCGAATGATAGAATGTCAAGATCTAATCATAAGCATGAATCAACAGGTTCAGAAAAAAACAAACAGCAGGAGCAGAAGAAGACGAAGAAGACATCAAATGTATCCTATTGGTATGTGATGGTATACATTTTTTGCTAAGAATTATGTCTATACATTATCGTGTAACATATGCCAGCTTACGCCGTCTCTGGCTTAGTAGACGTGATATCCGGTTGGCTATCGACCAAAGGGCGGGTGTACTGCTCAACAGTCTGCTCCCTCCTCCTTTATAGCTGGCTGTGAAACCTGGCCATTGAGAGTGGAAGACATGAAAAGGCCGGCTAGCTGTTTTTGATCATAAGTGCCTGCCTTCTATCTCCCGTGTTAAGTGGTATAATCGGGTGAGTAATATTGAGGTTAGGCTTCGGTCGAGTGCTAGGGAGGGGAAATCAATCGACGACACTGTGAATTTACATCGACTTAGATGGTTAGGACATGTGTTACGAATGCATGTCTAGTCATCGCCTTCCTCGTCCGACGGGCAATGTTAGCTGTTTGACATAGGGTCAGGTTGGAAAAGAGCCAGTGGTGGTGTTGGTCAAACCAAAACATGGCTTCATCAGACAGTGAAATCCACAACAGTTAGTTTAAGCCGGTCACGTAGAAAGGTGTAGACTTCCTGGTTGGGATCCTCGGGATGGTAAAAATCAATGGTTGAAAACAATCGGTGATATGGCTCAAAATCGTTTTCAACGGCTGGCGGACATGCATCCACTCCCTGTGAATTATGATTTCTATTGAAACTATATTGTTCTTCGTTATTACTATTCCTTTGTCTCACACCTCTGTTTACTGTCTCTATTATGAATTTCTTCTACTTTCTTCTCTTTCTTTGTGTTCTACATGGAGTGGAGTATGGCGACTTGAACTGTTGCACATCGATGCGAAGTTCTATGTCGAAAATAGACTGACAGACAGATGCCATGTTCTGGTTTGACCGCCACCTACTGGCTCTTTTCCAGCATAATTCATCATGTGTCAGCTAACATTGCTTGTCGAGGAGGGCGATGGCCAGGGATGTATGCACATTGCATGTCCTAACCATCTCAATCGATTCAGCGGCTTCACAACTCCCCTCCCCCCAGCCTACCTAGCACTCGACCTATGCCTAGTATAAATATTACTCATCTTATTCTACCACTTAGCACCGGAGATAGAACGCAGATACCTATGATCAAAGTTTCAGTCCCCGAAAACCATGAAAATGAAACTCCTGCCACTGCTCTCCACTTCCTTGTGGATCGAATTTCGATTCAAAGGTTTGGATCGGTCAACTCTTTAGAAGACAACCACCTAATTCAGTCTAAGCGTTCTGGGATTACGTGTGCAGCCCTTGCACAAATTGTGAGGATTCATGTGACACATCCCTTGGGTACTTATAATGTGCCAAGTTTGGAGTCATTTTTTGGTGAATGCTTACTAGTAGTGGAATCCAAGATTCACATTTCGTCCTTTCTGGGGTTCGTCAGCTATCTGAATGTACTTGCATTCCTCACCGACATGTCAACTTGATGCCCTTCTAATAAATAAATAAATAAATAATAAATGCACACATTAATTTGTTTTCGGTTTTTTTTTCTTATCTCTAAATAGTCCTATTGAAAAGTTACGTAATGACTCCAAGGAGATTATCTTCACTGGTACTATTCCTAATACAGATCCCCTGACAGATTTAAATGCACAGAATATCAACAAAGAGATGGATCAGGCAACTGGTGAACATTCAGCTATAGACAGTGATGATGACACTGATGACGCGGATCACGAAGATGGTGATGATGATGACGACGACGACAAGTATAAAACGCTAAATAAAAATGAATGGGTCGTGATACGTACTGCACATCCTATCCTATTGACAGATAATTATCCTGAATTATTAAAATACATAAAAAGTGCACATTCACGTGTTTCACGTCGACGTCAAGCATGTAAATCATGGTATTCACAATATTGGCCAAAAACTACTGAAATCATAAATCATATAAGTAGTATGAGTAGTGTTGGTGGTAGTAGTAGCAGTAGTGGTATGAAGTCCAGCAGTACACCTATCAAAATGACAACAGATGATGAAACCTTGGAATTACAAGAAAAACAAGCTCAAAATGATTTATATCGAACAACAACAATAAGTGGATCAATAAAATCTATAAAAAATGATTGTGTAACCCAATGTTGTGTAAAATTGATTGAAGAACATGATCGATGCTTGCGAAGTGATACAGAGGCAGAAGAAGATGGTGATGGTGATGGTGGGACAGCTGAAGGTGGTGGTGTTAGTGGTGCTGGTGTCTGTGATTCATCCTCTTCATCTATCCACCTTCAATCATTATCACGTCAACATGCTTCATCAATGTATCAATTGAATTATTTAAATGATTTTTCTGATGAAGAGAATTGTCATGATAGTGATAAAAATGACAAGGATACAAGTGTACCGCCTTCAGAAGGTTTACCGACAACTGGAACTCGACAGTTGTCTCGTGTAGCCTCTACAGAGGTATTTCATCCCGTCCAAGGGGACGATAATAATAATAACGAAATAGTTTCATTAGATGAGAAATTGGAAAACGTCAATGAAGAAAAAAGAGGACAACCGACGAATAAGGAGAACGAGAAGAAGCCGAAGAGAAAGAAAACGAAAAAGATAAAAAAGGCAGCGTGTCTTGTTTCGCCAAGAATTTCCACACCACATTCTCCAGGGAATTCCACTCCCACGTGTACTTGTTTATCAACCCTACCAGATTTATTAAGGTTAGCACATTTAGATCCAAGTATACAATTACATAAGCATAATTCGATTGGTGTTGCTATGGATACCGTTGCCTCTAGTAATAATAATGATGACGGTGATGATGAAAGAAAAGAATATGAATTGGAGAATTTTTTAGCCGCTTTAGATTGTCTCCCGTCACCTGGACATTGTCCCAAGCACTTTGGTCATTTACCTCCATTTATATCCTATAGTAAAATTGATAATGAATTTTTTGTCAAGTTAGATGAGTATATTAAAGAGTTTGAAGCATCACAGTTGATGAATACTGAGGCATCACTAATGATGAATACATCGTCAACTTTGACCGGTAATAGTAATAGTGATAGTACAGCTTCTTCTGGCGTCGTCAATAGCAAGAGCTTAACACAACAAATGGAGGAAGGAAAGTCTTCAGCAGCAGAATTATCCAATGATCGGTTGTTAGATTCGGTTCTGTTGGACAGATCAGAGTCGAGACAATCGAGTCATAAGATTAACAGTAACAGCAGTAGTACTTGTAGTGTTCGTGGTGGTGGATTAACCGATTTCCCGTCAACGCCCTCCCTGCAGTCAGCAAGACATAATTCGAATTCTGTTGGTGTAGCCGGTGGTATAGGTGAGTTATTGTTGTTTCCATGGTGTTTGTTTTTAAGTTATATATATATGTTGTATGGAGGATTTCACCATGAGCTGGCGTCAGTTAGATAACCACTAGAAAATCTGGGAGTACTGGACAGCTGTCTCGTCCTAGTTTGGGACTCTTCAGCAGCACGCACCCACTTGGGTTCGAACCCAGGACCTTCTGGTTACAAGGCGAGCTCGTAGACCATTGAGCCACTGGGACACGATCCAACGGTTCCTGAATATTGAATACTTCCTTTTGTTTGGTTAAAAATGCCCTTTAAAATTTTCAAAAGAATGGATACTAAACAAAGAGTACTCATTTCGATAACCCCTTCATCATCAGGTTCTACAGTTTTATATACATTATAGTGAGTGAATGACTGAATCAGTGTTATGAACAACATTAATGTTGCTGTTTAAATAACATCGAATCAGTCAATAATATTGATAGATTACAGCTCAATAGCTTCAACATAACAATAAGCTGAATGTCAGAAAAAATAGTAAAGATAATAATACAAATTCATCTTTACTGGATGCCAGCTTGAGTAGTAGTAGTGGCTAGCTGAACTTGTTTCTTTTGCACACAGAGCACTAGTTGTTTGAGGTGAATTGCAATAGCCTCTACTGTTTGGAGCATACGGTTCTTCGATGATGATTTTGGCAATTTATTAGGCAACCGGTAGATGATTGAGAAGGATTCTTCTACGCTGGGTGGCTTTGTGGCCGGTTTGCACCAGATGGTCTAATATCGAACTGTTGGTGATAGTTTTCACTAAACTTTTACTTAGCCATAGTGGAAGGTGTTCTCGAGAAAGAGCACGAATAATCAAGTTCCTAAAGCAACGGTCAATATAACTCGCTCCACCACAGGAGAGCAGTTGAATTGGTAGATGCAATTTGAAGTGGCCAGCTAGTCTAGGTACTTCATCTTTCAGTTGAGGAATCACCATCGGTCGTGTAGAGAATAATACGTGTAGTTCGCTGCCAGCATTAAAAGTTCTTTGTACTGTTTTTCTTAATTTCCTCTTAATTATCTCACTTGGTATATCCATCGCCCTTGAATTGTAGTCGTATGTATAAAGTGGCTTCTTTTTACAGATAGTGAGTAGTCCTTTTCCGCCACGTTCTTTGTCATGTGTTTGTTGACAAATTTGTCGGGATAGCTATTTTCGATCAAAGTATCATATACAATGCCTAATTCATCTTCAATTACTTCTTTTGAGCATATAGCTCTAACTCTGTGGCTGAGGGTCTTCACTAAATTTCTTTTGTACTTGATAGGAACGAAACTGTGAAAATGTGTATATTGTCCTGTCCAAGTACTTTTTCTATACAAATTTGATTTATACTTCGATAGTGCCTTATTCATGAGTAATTCTCATCCAAACTTTCAGAGAAGGGGTTGTTTCCAGCAATTTCATTTCCAGTTTGATCACAAGCTGAATTGCTGAAAACCAACACTGAATACTGGACGGTTGTTTCACCGTATTTTCGGACTCTTGAACCTCCCCTTCTGTCTGTCTGTCTGGATTCAACATAGAACTTGGCACCAAAGTGCACCAGTTCGAGTTGCCACGTTCCAAATAGCACACAGAGGTAGACAAGAAGATGAATGAAGAGAATCAATAGTTTGACAAGTATAAGAGTGAAACAGAATGGGTAATGGTAGAAAAGAATATGAAAGATTACAGAGACTGAATACATCTGCGCTGGCCATTAACAACGATCACTTTGAGCCATGTCACCTATTGTCTCCAGCCATTGATTCCTAGAGTCCCGAGGACCCCAACCCGGGAGTCTGCATCTCCCTACCTGACTCAGTTTAAAAATAGGAAGTGAAGTGGTAGAGCACGTTGACCGCTTCACTTATTTGGGAAGTACCATCAGCCAGTGCCAACGGGTTGATCTCTGACGAAATCTCAGCACGAATACAAGGGGCTCGTTTCGCATTTGTTAGTTTACGCCGACTTTGGCGTAGACGAGATGTTCGACTATCGACCAAAGGGCGGGTGTACTGCTCATCAGTCCGCTCCGTCCTCCTTTATGGCCAGCTGTGAGACCTGGCCACTGAGAGTGGAAGACATGAACAGACTAGCTGTCTTTGATCATAGGTGTCTGCGTTCTATTTCCCGTGTAAAGTGGCATAATAAGGTGAGCAACATTGAGGTTAGGCGTAGAGTTCTAGGTAAACAGGGGAAATCAATCGACGAAGTCGTGAAGCTACATCGACTGAGATGGTTAGGACATGTGTTACGTATGCCCAGCATAGTCATCGCCTCCCTCGACGAGCAATGTTAGCGGATATAGGTTCAGGCTGGAAAAAAGCTAGCGGCGGTCAAACAAAAACTTGGCTGCACCAGTCAATGAAATCCACAACAGCTGGTCTAAGCCACGTAGGAAGGTGTAGACTTCCAGGCTGGGGTCCTCGGGACGGTAAAAATCTATGGTTGGAAACAATTGGTGACATGGTTCAAAGTGATCGTTCTCAATGGCTCACGCAGATGCATCCACTCCCTGTGACTTATGATCTTTAATGAAACTGTTTTGTATTTCTTTTATTACTCCTTTGTCTCACACCTCTGCTCACTGTTTCTATTATGCTTTTCTTGTACTTTCTTCTCTTGCTTCGCGTGCTACACGGAATGTGGCGACTTGAACTTCCGCACATTTGTGCAAAGTTCTATGTCGAAAACAGACAGACAGACCTGACTCAGTTTAACTGTCAAGGATTTCATGGATTGATGCCATGTTTTTGTTTGGCCACCACTTACTCTTTTCCAACCTGCACCACCTATATCAGCTAGTAATGCCCGTCGGGGGAGGCGGTGGTTAGGCATGCGCAGCACGTGACCTAACCATCTCAATCTATGTAACTTTATAGCCTCGTCGATTGATTTTCCCTCTTTGCCCAACACTCTACACCTAACGTCAACATTACTTACCTTATTAAACCACCTAACGTGAGAAAGAGATCGTAGACATCTATGATCCAAAGCAGTCAACCTTTTCATGTCTTCAACTCGTATTGGCCATGTTTCAGAGCCATAGAGAAGGACGGAGCGAACTGATGAGCAGTACACACGTCCCTTGCTTGGTTGATAACCGGATGTCACGCCTACGCCAGAGATGGTGTAAGTCAGCGAAAGCAGCTCGAGCTTTTCGGATCCGTGGTGAGATTTCACCGCCAATCAGTCCGTTGGTGCTAATACAACTTCCCAAGTAGGTGAAGTGGTCAACATGTTCTATCACTTCACTCCCTATCACTAAGTTAGGGGTTGACGTGGTCCAGTCCTGTAGCAGCATCTTACATTTTGTAGGGGCGAATCGCATACCCCCCCAGTAGGGACCTCGAACTAAAGACCCTAATGTTGTGTGAGGTGAGTTCGTTGGCCATTCAGTCATTGGGTGGAAGAGAGATGGAATTTTGACGTCTGTCTATTCGTGATATGTAGCGCCGTTGTCAGTGAATGCCACACCTATTCCCATTGAGAACATTGCTGTACTCAGATGAAGATTTTCTTACCAGGACGAAACAGTTGTCTGTTGTCCAGGTCGCGAAAGACCCTGAAACTTGCGCTGATTCTAGAAGACTGATTGGTGCCTCGTAATTCTGTGTGCGATAGTTGTTATGATCTATGCCACCAGGTGAAATGAACTCGTTGCTGATTTGTTATGGACCTGTTACCAATTGATATGATCGAGTCGGCAACTGTTATGACCGAGTGGACTGATGCTTGAGTATAATAATGCTGACTCAATGAACAAATCAACTGATATGCTGGCTACACCTATTCGTCTGTAGGTGTGGTTGGTACCTTCCACTTCACTGAGCCACGTAAATTTCAAAAGACAAAGACTAACCTGTGACTGGCCTGGAAAAAAAGAGAAGCTAAATTATATCAAGGAACTTAACCCTAAGTTCCTATTATCTCCGAAGACGCTCGAACCGATAATTACTGAGTACAATATTGACCTTAATTCCAAAACACAAGAAACGGGAAGAAGTTGTATTGTTCGCCAGTTGAAGCAAATACTCTGTACAAAGTTTCTAAACAAATATTTTTACTAGGAATGTATTGTACTCTTATTCGTATTCCTTCGTCTTCTTCTAACTTGTACACGATCGAATCACTCGTGCCTTCGAGTTGCCCGCCAATGCCGACCAAGGCCAATGTACAAACGTTAAATGTTCTTAATCAACGACGAAGTATCATAGTCCAAGTCATGGTCTGTCAAAAGTTCATCTTCCAGAGCCAATTAGACACAGACAACACAACGACAGGTCATTCCAAATCAAATCATGTTTGCCTTTTTGGACTTGATGAGGGTAGATAAACTATTCACCTTATTCCCTACGCATTTTCTCTGCAAATTTATACTGTAGGTAGGTAGGGTTATAGTTTTTTAAGTTTAAGGTTTAAAGTGTAGGATTAAGATTAGAATTAGAGTTAAGATTAGGGTTTAGGGTTGCGGTTAGAGTTAGGAGTAGGAGTAAGTTAAAAAACAGTTTCAGAAATATCAATGGATCTCAAAGTACCCATGACCTAGAGTCACTTGGAGGAATGAATCTATCGTGTATGATATGATTTCTCCATAAATCATCTGTGTAGTAACGGAGAGACATTCTTTATAACACATACGTGGCAATTATAAGGTGTAATATTCTGTTTGCTATGATTTTTTTTAGTTCATTTTTCAACGATTGTGATACTTTCTTGATTTTGAATTCTGATTGGTTGTTCAAGGTCACTGTGGTTTTGTCGAAAAAAAAAAACCACATGACATTTATCTATGGAAAATAAAAAACACTTAGTTCATCGAAGAGTCTCTTGTCAGCGGCGATTTCATTCACTTAGCTGTACAATCGCAATCATATATAATTATTTCTGTATGTGTGTGGTGTGTATATTAGCGTTTTCAGTCAGGAATAAAAATTAGTTGGGGTTAATGTTCACGTCATCAAAATATTTCCAAAAAGGCAGTAGAAATAGATTGTTCTGATTGGTAGACGATATGGCTAGGTCAACGAGAAATGAATATTCTGATTGGTTAACGATTTGACCAACACCAAGGTAAGAGAAAGATGGTGAAATTTATACAGTCATCCGATCACATGATGAATCTTAAGGCGATTACTATTTTAAGCCGATTCACATTAGTAACCGACGCGAATATATTAGAAAACGATACGAGGCAATACGAGGATTTTTTAAAATTTGGTATCAGTTAGAGAATAGTGTGTCGGTGGCACAGTGGTGTTAGGACTTTCGCCTACCATGCACATGGTTCTGGCACACCCGATATCTATGGTCGGCCTGCGAAATTTGGGCTACCGATATCACATGCTGGAAATTCCATACATGTACCGAAAATACGGTGTGGCATCAAGCTGTAATCGAAATTTTAAAAAAAATAATTGTTTTTTCATAATTTTGGACTCATTGGAAGTACTCACCCAGTGGGGGGAGGGGGGGACAGAAAATCAAAATTCTGTCTACGAGAATCGGACAGAACTTTCGTAAGTCCAAGCGATCACTTTTCTGCGTAACCTTGATTTCATTCAAACATGATGAAGGTAACCAACTGACAACAATAACGGCCAGCACTAATCATGATCAACGGGAGATCACTTATCCAGCCAGGAAGCGTCGTTTCAACTGCTGGCGATGGTATGCATGAAGATGTCAAAAGCAGGTAATATAGAAAAGGCGAGATTCGCCTTCATCAACCTGAAACCAGTTTGGAAATCTTTCGCACTCCGCCTCAGCATAAAGAATAAGATTCTGATTTTCAACACAAATGTGAAGTCAGTCGGTGAGTTATTCTGTATGGGTCTGAAACTTGTAGTACGTGTCGCGTAAAGCATTTCCACGAGGTTGCAGACATTTTGTCAACAGCTGCCCCCATCACTGACTCCCTATTGAAGATCAAACGGTGAGAAGGAATTAGGGACAGGAAACACTGGGAATAAACTAACAAAGAACCTAATGCTCAACAAATATGTGAGGGAAAATGGAGATGGATTGTGTACACACTGGAAGGATCGTTGAGTGACGTCGTACGCTAGGCTATGACTCTAGTGAAATCCAAGTGGGAAGTGAGTAAAGGAGAATGATGCTCAGGAAGGCTTCTTGTGCTTTTGGAAGTGTGTGGGCGATCGTTACTTCTCGGCTGCCCATACCGTGGAAGTTGATTGATTCTTCGGGTACCTGAAACAGAAAGAGGGTTAGTGTTGCGTGACCGCAGAGTCCAGGGGACAACTGCTTGCTACTGGCCGGTCACACACGGCCTGTATGAACTGGTTTGTGGGATCGGTTCCGTATTAGTAAACTTACCGCCGGTTAAGGACCACCGTAGGATAAGTCGGGATGTACAATTTTTGGGGTCGACCTTTTCTAGCCCCCACCTCTCTCCAGAGTGGATAGACAGCATAGCTGGCTGGCATACTGGTCATCTGAGGGAAACACCTCACTGCGGCTGTTACATCCCTGTTCCTCTGCAGGATGAATTCGCCCTCAGACCCCCCAGCATAGTGTAAGAAAGATCCTTACACTCTTCCGGTGACTGCTTTTATTCTAATCGCTATCCTAACAACCTTCCTGGCATGGTAGGACCTGCAGCAGCATTGGTTCCAGCCAGTGTAGCTTGTTGGGTCATGGTGATGTGCAAGCGCGACCACCACGTCAAGATAGCAGCTAGTCCTTTGTCTCATACCTCTGTTTACTGTCTCTATTATGGATTTCTTCTACTTTCTCCTCTTACTTTGTGTGCTACATGGAGTTTGGCGACTTGAACTGCCGCACATATGTGCAAAGTTCTATGTCGAAAACAGACAGATATGGGAAGTGACGAGTTGGAAGTGGGTTCGAGAGTAACATGAAGGAGAGCGTTTGGCGAGGAGACTGTGGAGCAATCGTGAACGCATCTGAAGAGGATGGAAGAAAATAGAACAAAGCGGAGATGTGCTGTTGAAGCTCTATGTTCCACTCGGAACCCAAGGAATCAATAAGAATAGTTATAATTGTAACATTGAGTAACATTTCTTTGTTAGCTATACAGTATTATTTATTTATTAAAATGTCTGTTACCTTACTTTCGTCTTTTTTTATTAAATAGGTCCCTTTTTATCTATTCTATTGAATCGTTTGGCTAATATGCACAATAATTGCTTTTTTACTAATCTCCTACTGACGGATATATTTGCTGCATTAGCTTCTTATCCATGTCCATTATTGTATGAATTTCTATTGAATCCAGTCGGATTAAGTGTCAAACCGTCTGTCAATACTCTGTATAAGGTAAGTGTGGATTGTCTGCCTTTGTGTGTGTGTGTGTGTATGCGTATATCGACGCTAATGTTTGTCCATTTTTGTTTAGACAATGAATTTTTTAAAGATTTGACTGAATTTCTACATTAATCATAGAAATCACTGAAAAATAGAGAACAGTGGACAGTTCTTTCGTCGTAGTTTAGGACTGTCTACCATTGTACACCTATAACCTTATCAGGAATTGAATCTCGGGATCTACTGGTTACCAGACAGAGCTTGCCGGCCAGTGTGATCACTTGAATCGATCACTAAGTAACCAGTGAATTCAAACTCTGTCAATTCGTGATGTGACACTTATTTGATGAGTTGCATCAACTAGCCCAAAGCGTTGGTCGCTGACGAAGTCTCAGCACGGATACAGAAGGCTCGTATGACATACACCTGCCAACCTACGCCATCTCTCGCCAAGTAGACGAGATATCCTGGTAGCTAGTTGTTGACCAAATGGCGTGTGTACTGCTTATCAATCTGCTCCGTCCTTCTTTATGGCTGTGAAACCTGGCCATTGAGAGTGGACGACTTGGAAAGGCCGACTAGCTGTCTTTCATCATTAATTTCTGCGTTCTATCTCCCATGTTAGGGAGGTGGTATAATAAGGTGAGTAATATTGAGGTCAGGCGTCGAGTGCTAGACTAGATAAGGAGGGGAAATCGATCAACGAGTCTGTGAAGTTACATCGATTGAGATGGTTAGGATATGTGTTTTACGCATGCCTGCGTAGCCATTGCCTTCCTCGACAGTGGGCAATCTTAGCTGACAAACGATTGATCAAGTTGGAAAAGAGACAGCCAATTGTGGTCAAACCAAAACATGGCTTCGTCAGTCAGTGAAAACCACAATAGTTAATTTAAGCCATACAGGAAGGCATATATATATATATATATATATATATATATATATAATATTGCAAAAGAGGTCAAATATTCAAACCAAAAGGGCGAAGAAAACTAAACGAAGAGGTATGAAATGATATTGACAAGTTTCACTGAAGTAACGAAATTAATATACTTTTAAAACGCCGATTTTTAGTGGTCAATATTTACTAGACGACCATTGACTTCACCACTGAAGATATCTTGCAGCTTTCAGGGGCAGCATCCTAAGAATATACTCCAACATGCGGCTGCAAATCCTTCTGTACTTTTCATCCGATGTATGTGCTTTGGTAAGTACATTTAAATTTGAATACGCAGTTGGGAATAAGATCAAGATGGAGGAAGGTGTCTTGTCAACTTTGGATTATCTCAATTGAAGTGTGACTAACTAAGTTCAAATGAACTTATCCAGAAAGTTCAACAGGTTGATATGACTAGTACCCACTACTAGTACTAGTACTACTCATTTTCACCAATCGGTAGTACATAACATCATACACTTATCCTACATTTTTCATTGGAGTTTATGGGGGAAAGGGGTGGGGAACTTCATAGGATAACATAAACTCCTTTTCAATTCATCACAGAAAATAATGTCTACCTACAATGGGTGAGCTTGTCTTGCCTGCTATCTATTGGCATACTTCCGGATACCTTTAACTGGGTGTCAGGAGTGTATGACATCTTTACTTTGAACAAATTTAAGTGCTCAAGACAGGCCTTTGTGCCTAGAAATTCTTACATGGAATAATGAAATAGGACTTCGGTTCTATTTTGTTGGTTTTCGGATCCGAACTAATGGTTAAGAGGGACAGACGGGGGCATTTGTATAGCGGTGTTAGAGGTGAAATTCTGGGATCATCGTCAGACAAACTACAGCGAAATCAATTGTCAAGAATGTTTTCATTGATTAGGAGCGAAAGTCAGAGTTTCGAAGACGATTAGATACCGTTGTAGTTCTGACCATAAACGATGCCAAATAACGATCTGCAATGGTTCTACATAATTGACAGTGCCGGGCAGTCCCCGAGAAACCTTTAAGTCTTTGGGCTTCGGGGGAAGTATGGTTGCAAAGCTGAGACTTAAAGGAATTGACGCAAGGGCACCACCAGGAGTGGAGCCCGCGGTTTAATTCGACTCATATATATATATATAAATATATATAAATATATATATATATATATATATATATATATATATATATATATATATAAGAATCCAGGTGGTTAAGTGTGCACTTAACAGGTATGAAAAAGAGTGAGAACAAATGAGAATACAGGTTTGGAAAAAAAGAGTACGTAATTGTGTGATAATAGTGAATGACTTACTAAAAATAGATGTAAACAAGTTGAATACAGCTTTTACAAGATGACAAACTGAACAAACCTCTTCTCTCACACACAGCTAGCAATCAGCTAGTTATTATAACTGGAGTGTGTTCTTTTTTCTCAGGTGAATTATCAATACAAAAATCGATTCTAAAGAGAAAGTATCTTCAGTTAAGATGGATTCCTGTACGGTTAGTGGTATTTTCTTTTCAACCACATGATATATTATAAGTGCTCTCAACTAACAAAGCTTCTTAGGTAGAATAAAGGATACTGTAGGTAGATATTATTCTTTGTGATGAATTGGAAAGGAGTTTATGTTATCTTATGAAGTTTTCCTCTCTCCCCTTCCCCCATAAATTCCAATGAAAATTGTGGGATAAATGTATGATGTTATATACTACTGATTGGTTGACATGAGTAGTTGAATACTACTCCGGTCAACCAGTTAGTTGGACTTTCTGATTAATTCCATTTGATGAACTTCATTTCAGATAATCTAGGTTTGACAAGACACCTTCCACCATCTTCATCTTATCCCCAACTGCGTATTCAAATTGAAATGTACTTATCAAGGCAAATATATCGTTTTAACTGATTAAAAATGACCATTAAAATTTTTCAAAAGAATGGATATTGAACAAAGAGTACTCTTTTCGATAACCCCTTCATCATCAGGCTCTACAGTTAGATATACATTATAGTGAATGAATGAATTAATGTTATGAACAACATTAATGTTGCTGTTTAAATAACATCAAATCAGTCAATAATACTGATAGATTACATCTGAATAGCATCAACATAAAATAAGCTGAATGTCAGAAAAATTAAGGAAGATAATATTACAAATCCATGAATTTATAGTCTCTACTGCAGGCCAGCCAGGGCAATAGTGGGGGCTAGCTGGACTTGCTTCTTCTCCACACAGAGCACTAGTTGTTTGAGGTGAATTGCAATAGCCTCCGCTGTTTGGAGCATGTGGTGCTTCGATGATGATTTTGGCAATTTATTAGGCACCCGGTAGATAATAGAGAAGGATTCTTCTACGCTGGGTGGCTTTGTGGCCGGTTTGCACCAGATGGTCTAATATCGAACTGTTGGTGATAGTTTTCACTAAACTTTCACTTAGCCATAGTGGAAGGTGTTCTCGAGAGAGCACGAAAAATCAAGTAATCATAAAGTACAGTAGAATTAAAAGAATTGGTATACCGACATCGATGCTATTGGATTGAATGTAGTCACAAAGGAAACATACGGTTTCTATCAAATGAACGTTGGTGAAGAGAGGGACAATATCCAAGGATACCATTTTTTTGTCTGCCGTGTTGACATTCTTAATTGAATCAACAAAGTCGAATGTGCGTGCCACAGAGGTTGTGTCTTGACAGCTTCTCTTTCACCGGCCCCAGAATCTCCACCAACTACTTCGCGATTGAGTCATATGGGGCGCAGCGTTGCAGAACCAGATGGACGCAGTTGTTCATATAGTTTTAAACTGATAATGGATTTGTCTTTCATTTTCTCCAATATCTTAGTTGACTGGAGCTCCGTCTGATCGGTGGGATCTTTCTGTGGAGACTGTTTTTGAAACTTTTAATCATCAGATAGTATCACCGAGAGTTTGCTTAGGTAGTCTGATTTGTTCATCAAGACGATCCTGAAGCCTTTATCTGGTCGGGTCATGATCAAGTTTTCATTATCCTTCAGTTCTTTCAGCTGACTTTGTTTATGGATTCGATGTTATTTAAACATTGTTGTTCATAACACTAATTCATTCATTCACTATAATGCATATATAATTAACTGTAGAGCCTGATGATGAAGGAGTTATCGAAAAGAGTACTCTTTGTTCAGTATCCATTCTTTTGGAAATATATCGGACAAAGAGTACAGAAGGATTTTTAGCTGCAAGTTGGAGCATATTTTTAGGCACCTACTGCTGAAAGGTGCAAGAAATCTTCATTTGTGCAGTTGCTGGTCATCGGTATTTTAAAACCATATAAATATCTTTACTTCAGTGAAACTTGTCAATATCATTTCATACCTCTTCATTTAGTTTTCTTCGTCCTCTTGGCCTGAATGTTTGACCTCTTTTTTGAACTTATTAATCACGTAGAATCAATAAAACTGAACACTCGTAGGTAACATGTGCTGCTTACTTTATCTTCTTCTCACCTCCTGATTATTATCCAACTTTTCCATCCATCTGTGGTTCTTCTCTTGATTACGTAATATTACGTAATAGTTATTTTATTTATTTTCTTACTATCCCCTTATGTTCCGAATGAAACATACAGCGCTTCAATATCACATTTTCATTTCATCCTGTTCCCTCTGCAATCCTTTCCAGCTTCTTCCACGATCGTCTATGCGCTGCTTTCATCTCCTGCTCACGTAAACTCCCCCCATTGTCATACTTGGACCCGTGCCCAACTAACTTGTTGATTTCCATTCACGTTCCACTTCATTCACCATGCTCGACGTCACTCAATAGTCTCAGTTTATTTTACTGTCTTTCTCCATTTTTGTAAGCATAGTTGTTAGGCAATAGGTTCTGAGTTTGTTTTAGTATCAGAGACTGACTAACTGGTTTCGACATAGAAGTCAATCCATCACAAGTCACCACACTCCATACAGCACACAAAGCAAGAGAAGAAAGTAAGAAGGAATGCAAAACAGAGACAGTAAACAGAGATATGAGACAAAAAGAATAGTAATATGGAAGAAATTGGAAATTATAAGTCACAAGGAGTGGATGCAT